ATCCAAAATCTATGGGACACAGTGGAAGCAGTCATGTGAAGCAAATATAGACTCAAATAAATAAGGAAGTCTCGGGTTTATTCATCTGGCTAAAGGCCCACAAAATCATTTGGTCTGGCCTTGCCAAGGCATTAGGGGTGAGTTAATTTAATGTATGACCAAATGTAGCAGGCTAATTTTTAAGTTGATAATTTTGTACGGCCCTCAAATGATTTCATAAATATCCAAATGGCCTTTGGCAGAAAAAGTTTCCCCACCCCTGAGCTAAAGTATCCAAATTTCATAACCAAGTATTTACTAACTGACCCTCCTAGTTTCATAAGATCATTAAAAAATAGTTTCCACCCTGGTTGGTGTGGCTCAATTGGTTGAGCATCATCCCATGCACTGAAAGGTTGCTGGTTAGATTCACAGTTAGGGCATACACACATGTTGTGGGTTCAATCCCTAGTCAGGGTGCATACAGGAGGCAAACATTTAAAGTTTCTCTCTCTCACATCAACGTTTCTATCTCTCCCTCTCCCTTCATATATCTCTAAAATCATTAAAAGCATATTTTAAACAATAGTTTCTATTTCTTCTCAAACTGCAGATAATATAAAGTAAAACATATCAACCCATCTCACAAAAATGACTCCCTGTATTAGTCACTTGATATATTTAATTTCAGCATTTTCTCTTCATGTATTAAATTAATATAAGATATGAAGTGAAAAGAATATAGAGATTACGTTTTAAAACTGCTTTATTAAGTTCAGAATATATCATAAGTATCTTTCCATGCAATAGGTGAAATTCTCCTGGTAAGAAAATCTCATAGGCTGGGACAAAAGCACCACATTGAACTAGAAGCTGAGAAAGACCCACCAGATACAAGTGAAATCAAAAGATTTACAACAAAGGTACATTACAAACATGTGTCTTTAGAAAGCAGATGTATCCCTATTAACTTCAGGGAAAACATCAGAACTCAAGGCATAAGGCAAAACTCGTCGTGATGGTCATGGTGAGGGGGGTCCGTGCTAACTGCCCGCAGACTATGACTTAACTGCTTTCCCCTCAGCTTTTCCATCAGCTGCCTCATCTCCTCCCCAACTCTCTCCCTATTCTCCTGTCTCATCCTTGCCGGTGGCTCCCCAAGCCTCTGACCCCCGTCCCATCTGTACTGCAGGATGGGCTGCCTAACACGGAACCGTCTACGATTTCCTCGTGGCACACAATATTCACCAGGCTCTCCTTTATTAGCATCTTGCTCCTTTTCATCCTTTATTTCGTTTTCCTGGTTGGCATTTTCCATGTTGAGATTTTTATCCACTTGTTCCTCTTTGGACGCCATTACTCCTAGAAGATAAAAGGGGAGGGAATTCTATTTTTGGTGTACAGATCAGCACCGAGGACAGACACCTTACTACTCATCTTTCAGAGTCCTGGATAGGAAAGGTTATTTTTTAAAACTCTTGTTTCCCACCTGAAAAGCTCCCTACACCCTCTAGTGGGCCTCCAGGCCCAGCTCTCCCACTTCCCTCTCACTTCTCTCCCCTTCCTCGCCCCAAACCCACCATTTCTCCTATACATTCATCCCTAGGCCTTTTCAGGCTGTCTCAGACTGGTCTCTGCATCCACCCCGCAGCACTATACCTCTCACCCACCTGGGCCTATCCTTGATGTCTCCCCTTTTCTTGATTCTCGCCGCAGGTGCGCCGCCGGATACTTGACAGAGACCCACAGACCCACAGATCTGCAGAGGGCCGGGGTAGAGGGAGCAGGGACTGTTGGCAAACGCTACTCACCTACTCGCTGCCGCCAGGTCCCTCCCCCACCCCCGCTTCACATCTCCCCAGGTCTCTCCCCGTAGCGGCTTCACCATTTTCCTACAGGAACTCGGCGGTGACTTCCATCGAGTTGCTCT